TAAAATCTAGAGGGGGGCTTATAATCAGCTACAGTAGCTTTAGATGGGCCTATAACTGGGGGGTTTAAAGTGGTAGTTTACGGATATTATAGCACAGGAACTTCCTGATAATAAATGGAACAAGAAACGATTATATCTTACCTCTTGTTTTTAAAAAGCAAGCTGACAGAGATCAACTCAGGACATGGAACCCAATTCAAATTACAAATCACCAGTTCCAAGATCTTGAAGGTTTTCTCCTGTACTTCAGTATCTTTGTCTGGTGCCTTCTCAATAAACAGGGACAAGGTATGTTGTGGTTCAAGGATGAAGAAATTGGCATTATCAGAACAGTAGATGTTATTGATGCAATCCAAAATGTTAAGGCAAAGAAGTTTGTCTGATGTCTAAAAGAAAAGGCAATAACCACTTGAGTACTCCTGCAAATATATCAATACCTATAATTATTCATGGAGAGTTTGTTTGGTACCACAGAGGAGGCAATTTGAATAAACTAAAGTTCTGGCACTGAATATATATATCAAAAGGTGGTACGCCAAGTACATTGTACGCTGGGCAAGTTCAAGAACATGGCTGCTTTTAAATTAAGGCATTGTTACTGCAATATTGTACACAATGTTTGTAAAATTTGCGAAAGAAAATTATTCTATCTGAAAAACAATTCAAAGAGATTCAAGAACATTATAACTGCCTTGTCAGTGCCATGCAATCTTTAACAAACTAAGTTATTAAGGCAATGATATTGGGATCAGCAGGCAATCATTGTGAGCTTATGCACTCCCATAAAAGGAATTGGTTTTGTTTAGAATTACACATAGTAATAGTGGTATGCACAGTAGATAATAACTTAGTTAAAGAAAATTAAAGTATCTGGTAAGCTTTAAAAGGACTCTGCAACACACACAGCCTAAAATGGTTCAGCTTGCATGTTTAAACTCCTTGCACCCAGATAGTGACCAGGAACTGCTTCACAAGCCTTACACAGCACTTCTTGAAAAAAATTCTTAGGCAAATGGAGTGCAGCCAAAGGGGAAACCCCACACTCCCAACCTCTGTATAAGCCATATGTAAGGAATGAAAATCTATCCTCCTCAATCTCCATAATTCTTGATACCAAAGCCAAATTCAATAATTGTTTCATTATTCATTCAAAATAATTCCTAGTTTAAAAACAAGCCAAAATATGCTTACATGTACATGTACTTCCATGGATGTTAAGTTTATCATCAATAGTGCATATTTAACGGCAAGTTTAGGAGATAAAGGGTTGTTCAGGTCTGCAAATATTCCCCAAATAGATGTTGTCCGTCAAGTTGTCTTCTTGCTGTTCTTGCTATGTTTTTAGCCAACAGTTCGCCTAGTATTTCTTCCTCATGAAACAAGTGAAATGTTCCGCCATTTCGTAGTCACTACCAAAACAACTCAACCTCCTTACCAGGTCTTCTCGGTTGATGGTCCAATAATCTGGCAATTTTGCTGAACTTTTGACATCATTTTTCACATATCATTTTTCTTCCAAATTTGGTCGACAATAGCAGGTTTTGATGAATTACTTGTAAGATTTTAGCCAGTCAGAAACAGGAAAATATTTTGAATGATTAATAATGTATTAACAATTTTATATTATACTATCAAAAAAATTTTGTACCTTGAGAAAAACAGTTTGTAGAACTTGAAATGCTTCAATATTTCTTACACTGACTCCTGCAGAAAAAAGACCAGCAAAATTTCTTCATATTTTCAACATTAGTGCAAAACTAGCTAGCATAGCAAAATACAATAGCCATTAATGTTTCACTCTAAATCAAACTTTATACAAATTAATGTCACTACACGATGCATGCAATTCATTAAGTTGCCTTTTTTAACAACTTATAGTAGTCTTACCAGTCATGCATATTACAGGAGGTATTATACTGCTTAATATTTTCAGTCTAACATGGCTGAGTGGCCTGCACTTCAAACTCGCAATCAGGCGGTCTCAGCTTTGAGTTCTGCTCTGGCCACTTACTGGATTTGATCTCAGTTGTCCCAATTTCAAATTCTCTGTCAGCCACACTTGTAAATAGGCAATTTGTTGCCTCCTGCCAGTTGGGTTTTTTTAATTTCCTGTTATTTCATTATTTGTTTCTAATTATTTGAGTGGACTACCCGTAAATTAGCTGGATTTGATAATTATTTTGCAAGGTTAGCAAATTATAATAACCACCACAACACCAACACCAAACAAAGAAAAAACAAAGATAAAAAAATCAACACTAAAAATGTAACAAACCTCCACCCAGAGGTTCTGGAATCTGAAAGGTGGGATCCTGGAATGGAGCTCCAATGCTGATGAGAGGCCTTAGAGTTACATGACCAATCATTACAAGTGATGACACAAGCAAGACAACATTCCTACAAGCTTCCCGTGCTTCACTCCCTGCCGTCTCACCCAACGTCAACAACAAGTCTGACAAAAACAGATAACCATGACAGCTGCGAAAATCAGCCAGTAAATAATGTGAAATGTCAGATGAGTCTTTCAGACAGCAGACCAAGGTGACAATCATTTCTACAAGCTCTAAAGGGTTGACTTGCTGAATCCTTCTCATGTTCATCAGGCACTGTGCAAGGCAGGATTTACCTTCAAAAAGAAGCAGATGCTTGAATATTCAACTCTGTTAGTTTTACAGTAAGCTTTAATAAAATAAAATTTTCATTTTAACTTCTGAGTTTGTAGAAAGGCCAATAGAGTGAATGTTCAAATTAAATCTTATCAGCAGACTTGAGAATTTTACGTGAGAGTATGAATATGAGACTGAGCACAAGTACAAGTTTTCAAAACCAAGTTTTTGTGCTTTAAATAATCATTTATCACAGCGATGGTATCTCTTTTATCACTATTATGTGCTGGTGAGCAATAGGAAAAAATGAGGGGGTGGAAGACATCACTGGTTTGAAATTCCATTCTGTAAATGAGAATTCCATTCTGTAAATGAAATTCCATTCTGTAAATGAAAAATTCCATACTGTGAATGAAAATACCATTCTGTAAATGAAATTCCATTCTGTAAAAGAAAATTCCATTCTGTAAATGAAATTCCATTCTGTAAATGAAAATTCCATTCTGTAAATGAAATTCCATACTGTAAATGTACTCACTGGGTCATAATCATCCTCAGATCTAAAAGGTTACTATTTTATTCTTTGGTTTCCAAGAGTTTTAAAAAATAAACATTGATCTCTTCTTGAATCTTGATCTTGGGAGGGAAAGGATAAAAATTATTATTCCCAAAATTGTAACATAAAACTTTTGCCAAAAATTCCCATACTTCTGTTTCAAAACATGTCAAGACTGCAGTCTAAACAATTCATCACATGTTGCAAAGCAATCAACAAAAATTTTGCACCAGATTCATTTATTGGGCATGACAAGTCCAGACAACAATACCCCAACCTGTGGGGCATCTTTTTTCAAAGAAAGAATATTCACCTTTTCAGTCTAGTAGCTTTATCATAAGCATCAATAGAAAGTTGATCATATATTGTACAATATACCACAAGTAACAAGGACACCAAGAGTAAAAGGAAAGAAATAAAACTCCATTCTTTAAGATATTGATGTATTTATCTTATTTTGTTACTTTTTGATAAAAGCCAAAATGACCATTGTTTGAAAAATCATTTTTATCACATATTTAGAATAGTTTAGAAGCGATTTTTGAGTTGAATCACTCAAATCTTCCAAATGTTTTGGAAAACAAAAGTCAAAACTTGTCATTACTAATAACAGCTCAGTGCTAGTTGCCAAAGCAAGAATATCACTGTCTTATGGTAATTAAATCAAAAAGACTATAGCTTAATTAATTAGATACTTTTTTTACTATCACTTGTACGTTAATATTGCATACTTACTGTGAATATAATTAACAACCTCCCTATCCAATCCATACCGTGTGAGAATCATTAAAATCTCTGACACACAGGTTCGCCACTGTAAGTTGTGTTTGGCAATTGGACAAGAAATAGCTGTAAAAAGTAACGCCAAGTCATCAGTGTGTACAAGCTCACGCGAAGTAGCCTTATAATTGCATAGTTTTACCAACACTTGGGAATATAGTTTCTGCACCGTTAAAGCATCATCTTGCAAGTCTTCAGTACTCTTGTCACTAGTTTTCTCAAGAAGAGGTAGATCAAAAAATAAATAAAGACATTTGACCATATTGGAGGGTAGGCTAGCAGCTACCATGCATTCCACCACAGGAGTATCAGCTGAAGCTAAAATATTCAGTGTATTTAAAAGATTCCAACCAGAAACAGTGTCTTCCGCAGAATCACGCATCAAGAAAGCAAAAATTAGTTTACTAGCGGTTTCATTGGGTTGATTAGCCGCTCGTCGACGAATTTCGCTCACCATAAGCCGAGAAACATGAGCGGCAAATTGACAAACGTCCCCGAACTTTTCGGTCATACTGCTAGGCTTAGCCTGTCCAAACACCTTGCAAAACAAGGGCAACATCATGTAGAGTTTAGATTCCTGTTCACGCACTGTAAGTGGGACAGGCGAATGAAGGAATTCCATAAAAAGTTTTCGCAAATGCATCAAGGAAAGCGCTTCATCTTGGTTGGAGCTTTGATTTACATTGGAAACTGGTCTTCCAGATCGTGTTAGAACCTTTTTGACGAACTCCATTTTTGCGACCTTTTCCAGCGCGATGTTAAGAATCTTGCTGAGTCTACCTTTTTAAAGATTCCACAGGAATCAAGATCCGTAAGCAAAACACGTCCATACGCCTAGATTTCTGCGAAGAAACCTTGCAAATGAGCTGTAGTGATGTCCTTTGATGTCCATTTTCTTCCTCGTTTTCGCTGCGTTCATACATTCATGGGGATATCCGCTGGTCTTAAAAACATCTTGTTACTTTTTGTTGATATTATATGACAGACCACTCGGACCACTAACCGACTGAGACAGGGCGCAAAAACGGCCCAATATTTCTAAAACATTAATACTTATTATGTCATTTACGAGCGAAAAAGGCGAGATGGCTGTACCTCATCGATTACTTATCGTTGGTGCGGGACTCACAGGGTCAGTGTCAGCAGCATTACTCCGGCGAAAATTCCCAAAAGAGCTCTTGGACATCACCGTCTGGGAAAAATCTCGGGGAGCCGGGGGGAGAATGAACACAAATAGATTTCCAGGCGATTCGAAAGGCTTGTCTTCCGTTGACCTTGGAGCCCAGTACATTTCAGCTACATCGGAGTATTATTTAAAATCTCACGATAGGTACGTGTAAATTCCTTCTGAATTATATATATCCATCATACATAAAAATGGTACGATGCGAACCTTACCTTATTTAGCTTATCCCGCAGCATTACATAATACTAAAATTAAGAATGCAAAGGTTATTGACGTAAGGGATAGAGCAAAACGGATTTAGGGGCAAATTTCCCTCTTAGGTTAAACCAGAATTTTCCTTGTCTCCTATGAAACAAAGGAAATTCTGAATTTAACTAGGCTGAATATTGGTTTAACCTGAGAACGAATTTTATGTAGAAAAAAAAAATGCACTAAATTTATTTTTTGTAGAATTTTATGTAGAAAAAAAATGCACTAAATTTATTATTTGAGTGTCAGAGTATTTAGCACGAAAGTAAAAACTGGGGACACTATTTTTACGTCTCCAACTGGAGATGGGACCGCCATTATACATGGTCATCCGAGCTACACAAAGATCAAGCTGCTTGCATTGCAAAGGGAGTATCTTCATTTGTCAGTTATTTTATAGTGCTACACGCCTTACCGTTGCCACTCGAAGAAAGTTTTTGATAAAATTTTGACATCTTTTTGACAACTTTCTGATATCAGATGGCCAATCAGAATACATGGAGTCTCCACAGAGTCTCCGTTGGAGAGACTCGATGGCAACAATTTGCTGCCGGTTTAAGCAGTGCGAAATTTTCAATTCTTTTTAAGAATGCCACAGCTAGCGTTTTAATGAATAATCTGTTTTCTGATTTGCTTTTGAAATTTTCCATCTAAGCATTGACTGAGAATGAATGAAAGTTTACATGTCCGTGGCACATTTATTCAGTTCTGCAGCTGAAGTTCAGTTTAAAGACGACAATTTCACTATCAACAACAGTTGTTTGGGTTCTAAACTTCTAAACAACTAAGTTCATCGCCAGGTACTTGGATTTTACAAGCCAAACTTCCCTCACCTCATTTTGCAAGGGCACGCAGAGTCAACTTCGTTAGCTTGAATAAATATTTTCTTGTAGTCGTGGTCTTTCACTTCTTTCACTGTATTAAGAAGCATTTGCAAGAACGCCACAAAAAAATCTGCTTGACAAACATTCACCATATCGCAATCCTCGTCACGGCAGTCACGGTAGCTAAGTGTAATCTTATCTTCGTCCAGGAGAGCCAGAGAAGAACAATACTTTTTAATGCTACTTACAAAACCATCGTATGAGACATTTTCTAGGAGAAAACTTGCAAAAAAACGTTCCATAATCGTTCACTTGTTGTGAGACCTGTAAAATCCCAAGGGAGTGAATGGACTTATAATTTGACATCTCTGCCCTTGGCAGTTCTCATGTTCTAATTGGCTGAAGTTAGCAAAAGGCTGTCAAAAAGATGTCAAAATTTAATCAAAAACATTCCTCGAGTGGCAACGGTAAGGAGCGTAGCACTGTAAGACCCTGAGTTACTATTGGTCCGGCCCCAGGGATCAAGCCTGCGACCTCCCGCTCTGCAGTCAATGGACTGGACTGAGCTAAAATTATTAAGTTGTAACAATCAGGCAAATAAATGCCATTATCTCTCATAATCAAACGTGTAGCCTGTGAATACAGCTTCCAGGTGTCTGTGTTTTGGCCCAAAACATTCTGTACTGATGGCATAAATCTGTTCAGAATCTGGTCAACAGCTCTGAACTGTTAATTTAGTGCCCACCAGGTGACTCCCAATAACTGGAACCAACATCAATTTCCCCCGGATTTCCTTCATACATTTTCTGTAATTATACTCTCTGTAACTCAAACCCTCGAGAACTCACACCTCCCACTAACTGGAAGCAATTTTTGTTTCCCTTCTGTAGAGGCTTCTGTGGCCGAACGGTTTAACACCTCAAACTCCCGATCTGGAGGTCCAGGGTTGAAGCCTCACCTGTCACATTGTTTCCTTAGTCAATTAGCTTTGCTCCACTTTGTCTCTCTTCATCCAGGTGTATAAATGGGTGCCGGCAACATACTGCTGGGGGCTAACCCTGCGATGGACTAGCATCCCGTCCAGGGGAAGTAGCAGTACTCCTAGGCATGCTTCATACTAAGGAAACCGGGATAAGCTATGGCCATTTGTGCCTTTGGCTTCTGCAGGCCTTTTCCTTTTTTTTACCTTCAGATCATTTTTATACAATTTTACCCTTGATAACTCGATCCATGTTTCAAGTACATGATGAGTTGGAAAAAGTAAGTTTACTGAAGTCTGTCAGAAACACTGAATTTATTTCAAAACAACCATGACAATTCTTTGTCCTTACTTGTATGTCACTCCAGCTCAAATTGAGTGTCTGTCATTGTATATTAATCAAGCTTTGTTGCTTAATTCCTTTTTTAAAATATCAATCTTTAACTCTTGCTACCCTAGAAGTAAAGTATGTATGATACTTGAATCTCCTCCCCATCCATTGCTTATTTTCTTTTTTTGGGTTATTTCCTTCAAACTCCCAATAGCTCAAACTTTTTTTTTGCCCAGAAGGTTCAAGTTATCAGGAGTCGACCGTAGTAGTATTGTTTTCTTTCAGCAATTTTTTATGAATGATAAACGAAAACAACAGGAGCAGATCTAAAAGATTCAGAAGCGGGGGGGCACTAACCAGCAATATAGATGCAATTTTTTGATGATGTAAATCAATATTTACATAATAGGGTAGTCATGGGGTTTCAAATGTAAATTATTGTCAAGTTTTGAGTTCTGTGAACAAGCGGAAGCAAAACTCACATGCTTCTTCTGAGGAAGGATATAATATTTCGCAAATATTGACTGTATTATAGATTCATCCCATTTACAACAATGATAGATTCTGGACAGATTTTATGTCATCAATACCGTAAACCTCCGATTATAAGCCCTTTATAAGAGGGCTTGTTTTTAGGGGGAATGGGGGCTAAAAAAGTGTCTCAAAACATGCTACATAGCAGTGCTGTTGAAAATGCTTTTTGAATTTGATTGCTAAACTTCAAAACGTTGTTGAAGTCAAATCCATTTCAGGCTGGAGTGGGGCTTATATTTTTTTTGGGGGGGGGGAGGGGGAGGAGGGGTGATAACTGGATGAATTTTTTTATCAGCGGGTAGATAGACCTACAAATGGGGGGCTCATACTCAGAAGTTTACAGTATGGCATTTCTATCGTTAAAGCACAGACATCCCCCATAAAATAACCCTAGCAGCCACGAGCAAGTCCCAAGGGACAGCTGAATTTGCAGAGAAACAGTCAAAACCTTTCAAAAAGTCTCTGTCGCTTAGGGTATTGTATGACTTGAAGCTGATTTGTGTGAAAACATTTGCCAATTCCTGTTGTTTAATTTCTGCTGTTTAGATTCTACCAGGAATTATTATCTGCCAAGGTGTTGGTGCCATTCAAAGGAATTATTGAAGGTGAAAAAGAAGCAGCCAAACATGACTTCACAAACTTTGTTGCACCCTCAGGAATAAACAGTATAGTCAAGCATTTTCTTCACTCTTCAGGTGAGGCATGTCCCTATTTCTTCGCACTTGGGTTAGACATGTCGTTCTTTCTGTACCCTTTTTGGTACTTTTCAAAGGCATCTCTCTTTCTGTTTTTAGGTGAGGTGTGTCTCAATATCTTTAACATTGAGGTAAAATTTGTTTCTCCTTCTGCACCCTTCAGATTAGCCAGAATTTTTGCCGTTACCTCTCGGGTGTGTAATTTAAAATGAAGGCTGAAAATCAGGCTTCTTTTAGGTAAAGTGGGTCTCTCTTTCTTCACTCCTTGAGAAAGATGTGTCCCTCTCTCTGTACTCTTTGGGTGAGATGTGTCCCTCTCTCTGTACTCTTTGGGTGAGACGTGTCCCTCTCTCTGTACTCTTTGGGTGAGACGTGTCCCTCTCTCTGTACTCTTTGGGTAAGATGTATCCCTCTCTCTGTACTCTTTGGGGTGAGATGTATCCCTCTCTCTGTACTCTTTGGGTGAGACGTGTCCTCTCTCTGTACTTTTTAGGTAAGATGTATCCCTCTCTCTGTACTCTTTGGGGTGAGATGTATCCCTCTCTCTGTCCTCTTTGGGTGAGATGTGTCCCTCTCTCTGTACTCTTTGGGTGAGATGTGTCCCTCTCTCTGTACTCTTTGGGTGAGATGTGTCCCTCTCTCTGTACTCTTTGGGTGAGATGTGTCCCTCTCTCTGTACTCTTTGGGTGAGATGTGTCCCTCTCTCTGTACTCTTTGGGTGAGATGTGTCCCTCTCTCTGTACTCTTTGGGTGAGATGTGTCCCTCTCTCTGTACTCTTTGGGTGAGATGTGTCCCTCTCTCTGTACTCTTTGGGTGAGATGTGTCCCTCTCTCTGTACTCTTTGGGTGAGATGTGTCCCTCTCTCTGTACTCTTTGGGTGAGATGTGTCCCTCTCTCTGTACTCTTTGGGTGAGATGTGTCCCTCTCTCTGTACTCTTTGGGTGAGATGTGTCCCTCTCTCTGTACTCTTTGGGTGAGATGTGTCCCTCTCTCTGTACTCTTTGGGTGAGATGTGTCCCTCTCTCTGTACTCTTTGGGTGAGATGTGTCCCTCTCTCTGTACTCTTTGGGTGAGATGTGTCCCTCTCTCTGTACTCTTTGGGTGAGATGTGTCCCTCTCTCTGTACTCTTTGGGTGAGATGTGTCCCTCTCTCTGTACTCTTTGGGTGAGATGTGTCCCTCTCTCTGTACTCTTTGGGTGAGATGTGTCCCTCTCTCTGTACTCTTTGGGTGAGATGTGTCCCTCTCTCTGTACTCTTTGGGTGAGATGTGTCCCTCTCTCTGTACTCTTTGGGTGAGATGTGTCCCTCTCTCTGTACTCTTTGGGTGAGATGTGTCCCTCTCTCTGTACTCTTTGGGTGAGATGTGTCCCTCTCTCTGTACTCTTTGGGTGAGATGTGTCCCTCTCTCTGTACTCTTTGGGTGAGATGTGTCCCTCTCTCGGTACTCTTTGGGTGATAAGTGTCCCTCTTTTTGTTTTCTTTGGGGTGAGATGTATCCTTTCTCTGTACTCTTTGGGTGAGATGTGTCTTTCTATCTGCTCTCTTTGGGTCAGTGTATCCCTCTCTCTGTACTCTTTGGGGTGAGACATGCCCTCTCTCTGTACTTTTTAGGTAAGATGTGCCCCTCTCTCTGCACTCTTTAGGTAAGATGTGTCCCTCTCTCTGTACTCTTTGGGTGAGATGTGTCCCTCTCTCTGTACTCTTTGGATGAGATGTGTCCCTCAGTTGCTAATGTAATTCTCTTGTTAATGAGGTGAAAATGTTACAACACCGTGACAAACTTCACTTTTAGTTGATCAGTTCTAATATCACCAATGCCAGTCCTTTCAGAAAACACTTGTCATCGTATTTTTCTTTTTTTTAATTAATTTGCAGAATCCAAGGTTTCCTATGAGACCCACTGTAATGTGATAGACTGTTGTGAGAAGCCAGGACATGATGGACGCTCAAGGAAAGTGTGGCAAGTAACGGACCTAAAAGATAACACTGAAGAATTTGAATCTGTTATAATCACAATTCCAGTTCCTCAACTGCTTGGGTTAAAGGGTTCAATTCAAGATTTTATAGAAAGTAAAAGACTTTCCTTGGAAAATGTGGAGTATTCATCACGCTTTGCTGTGGGGTTGTACTTTGATGTGGGATCTAAAATAAATGTACCATGGACTTGTAAGTACGTGATTGGAGACCCAAACTTGGCCTTTTTGTCTGTTGACTCCCGGAAAAGATTCAATAAAGGTAGGTTTTTACATTAAAGGTTAAAAGGTTAAAGGCAATTGTTTATAGTGGAAAGAGCGCTTAGTTTGTCCACCTAGTTTACAGGCACTCCACTCAAATAATTCAATTATAACATAATAGGGTTTAAAAAAACACACACACACAACTGGACAACTGGCAGGAGGTAACCAGTTAGTTATGTACAAGAGTGGCCAAGTACTTGAACTTGGGACAACCAAGAACATATCCAGCAAGTGGCCAGAGCAGGACTCAAACTCGGGACCATCGGATTTCGAGTCCGATTCCCTGACCACTCAGTCATGCTGCCTGGTTACTGTGCAGGCATTTCCGAAACAATCACTGTTGAGTCTACTGACATATCCTTAGTTCAACGATCTGACAAAAAGTAAGCAGATCTCTGAATATATACATTCAGCTCTGAGAAAATTTGAGGAGGGTAAATTTTAAAAGTGCCTAGTTGTTTGCCTTTCCTAAGGTGTAAAGCTATTTTAATTAGTTGTTGTACAAATAAGAATTAAGAAGTCACATGTAATAAAGCGAATCAAAGATACTGTGATTTCCCTGTGATGCTGGCAACGTAAAGACCAGTATCTCCTGGAAATTTAGGCTTAGTTTGATTACAATGTTATATTTTATCTCTGCTTATCAGATCCGACAGACACTGGCCCATCTCTCTTAATACATGCATCCAAGTCGTTCAGCTTAAAGCACTGGGACACAGATCAGGAAGCTGTCAAGAACCTACTCATATCACATGCAAGAGAACTTATCCCTGATCTTCCTAACCCTATAGATAGTCGCTGTCTAAGATGGAGATATTCACAAGTGATCCGTGGATTTGAGGGAGCTCCTGGTTGTTTAATATTGTCTTCCTCACCTTTACTGATTGCTTGTGGTGATGCATTCACACACACAAATTTTGATGGCTGCATCAGCTCAGCCCAGTCTGTTGCAAAAACATTTAGTCTGTGAAACATGGAATTTAAAACGTTCAAGCCCTATTTGTGCACATTGTTTTCCATACATTTTGTTGCAATCCTCATGACAAGAATAGACTTTATTGTTCCAAAATCATGGCAAAAGTTTAGCTAGTTAGCATTGTAAGCCTCAATTGCATCTGCTGAATTCTTTACCTATATACAGCTATTTCGAGAAAGATGGTCAGAAAAAATGTGCGCGCGACAACCCCAAAAGGTAATATGGGATATGTTCAATACCCTGTTCCTGACACTGTAGCTGTCGAACCTACTTTTGTTGCTTTCCTTTAGCACTCAAAGACATATGTCTATGACCTCTCCTGCCATTCTTTCAAATTTCTGTGAAAAACAGTGCACTCAAAACCATCCACAATACCTTTCGGGCTTGTCGCATGCACTTTATCCGACAACTTTGCTCGAAATAGCTGTATATTTGATGCCTATTTACATTCATAAAGCAACTGGAGAGTGACACCAGTCTTCCAAGACAGGATCTTGCATCTGTCATGGGTAACAGATGGGAATAGGACAGACTAAATCTGATCA